GCGTCCTCTGATGCTGAAACTGCTGTCCCTGCTGCTGCTTTGGGGATTGGTAAGGAAAAACCTCTTGCACACTCCCCTTGTTCTAGCTGCTGGCTTTCTTTCCCCAGCAGGCAGACCCAAGCTAACTCCTTGGTCTGTATCTGTAATCTGCTTCTAGCTCCACAGCGCCTTTGCCGCTAGAAATAAGCTTGCTTGCAGCCACCATTAGTTAAACACCCCACCCCCCTTGAAGCTGTATCCTGGGCACACACCACTCTGCCCTCTGGAACTACCCCTAGTATAAGGTGCACCCATTAGGTTAGATTTAGCCTTTAGTCTAGATAAATTGTAATTTCATTTTGCATAGTTGTGGTTAAATTAGGCTTAGAAAATTGCTTGCATTGTACTCTGTAAATTAGGCTTAAAGAATTGTTGCATTGTGTTTTGTTACTTGCTAATTTGTGTAGTCTTGGTTAAGTTGAATCATAGATAAGATTTTGCTGTGTTCTGTATAATTGTCTCTCTGCTGTTTAAACTTGCAGCCTGTCTGCTCTCTCTCTCTCTCAATCCCTCCCCCACGTGCTCACCCTGCTCCTACTGCTGCCAGACCTCAATTGTATTACTGAAGTCTAGCATAAAACCCCATTGGTTACCCTTTTTCACTCTAACACCCCTCACATTTTACATTTACACCACTGTGACACATTTTTACCTAGAGTTGTTGACTATTTAACACATTTTACCCATAACTGTTAGTTGGTTATATGCTGCTGTGACACACCCTATACATAGGAATTGTTAGCTACCTGTTACATTTATACTTCAGTGTTAATTGGTTACCAACTGTATTGGACCCCACTGTATTGTACCCCCCTATTGAAACCCCCTATCCTATTTACTAAAAGAAACCCCTCCCCAACTGTCTACCTTAACAAACCCCGTACTCCTCACTATTGAATTTTCCCTGTTTTTGCATTTTCTTAATAAAGTTTATTTTGCACCCCACCAGTGCAGTAGTTGTCCCCCAAGATCCCCTACCTGCTGGCAGGGTCAAGATGGAAATACATGCAAAATAAAAGCCAAAACCCTTTTTCTCCCTATTTTCGACTCTCAACAGACTTGGCTGTATCAAGTTGAACCTGTCTGAAAATTGTGAGGGTTCTTCTTTTGATATAGGAATTTCAGGCCTAGATTATCCTCTCTAATTTGCAGGTGTAAATTGCTGCATCTCTTTTCAAAATCACTTAATTTGCTTTCACAGATACATTGGTCGATTTTATAAGATGATGTGTTAATGCACATCTGAATATCTGAGAGACAGTCGTAGTTCTAAGCTCACATTGTATCTATTAAATTGGTAAAAAAATTACCTAAAAGATCCTCCTTGGTATTCCTCAGGTAACAGTTTTCCATCTCTTGCTTTCTTTGCGAGAGCCTAAGAAAGTAAAGATAGAAAATAAAATCCCAGACCAAGTTATTTCATCACCTTGTATCTGAGTAAGACAGCACACACTGAGTAACGCACAACATTAGTAAAATTTCCTATATGCTTTTTAGTCTACACAAATATTTGAGGCAGATAGTTTTGCCATTTAAATACGACATTGAAAACGATTAGTTGCTGCAGTTGTGTAAGATGTGAGGGGTGAGACATTTTGGATGAGGTGCGTGGGGAAGAAGACTAGGACTGGTAGCCAGAGAGATTGGATGAGGAGCTGGGAAGGGGGTAACTGGCACTAACTAACATTCAAAAGAAAGATTGAGACTCTGACAGAGACCCTGGATGTGGAGACTAGGACTGGACAGACAAAGAGAATGAGACTTGGATGAGAATCCTGAGGAGAGATTGGGGCTGGATAGGCACGGAGAGTAGAACTGGGATGAGGACCCAGGGATGTGGATAAGACAGGCCTGGAACAGGGGCAGATTGGAGAGGATAGAGCAGAAGGGATCAAGTGTAGGCAAAACAGGCAGAAGAGTCTGTACTCTAAAGGCAGAATTATTAGTTTTCAAATGGGCTTGTCTATGGCGTTCATCACAATAGTATCTGAGCGCTTTGCAAACATTAATCCATCCTCAACACCCCTGGGAGATGAGGAGGGGGATATTAGCCGCTTTTTATAGATGGGGAGCTGAGTCATAGCAGGATTAAGTCAGAAAAATGTTGGCTCTGTGGTTCAGCAACTGCTAACTTAACCCATATGTTTTGGGAATGCTCCTATGTCCATATGTTTTGGGCAGAACTTAATTGCAGAATTAATTAATTCCTATCAAAACTGTGTTGCAAACTAAACAAGTAATTTTAAACCTAATGGATGTTCACTGGAAGCTAAATAAGTCTGAAAAACTTTGCCTTAGCAGAGTACTAATAATTATTAAAAGACTAGCACTACAAAAAGTGAAAAGCCAAACAGCGACCAACAACTGAAGAGTGGAGCATACACATTGTAAGCTTGGTCACCATGGGAAGAATTGAATATGGTAACAGAAATACCCGGGAAAAAGACTTTCAGCGACGTGGGATGCTGTCCTGGAAGTATCTGAATGATCCTATTCAATGCATGCTCCCAACACCTCTTCTGTACCAACTTCCTTCCCTCCCCACCTCTATCACCCTCCTCTAAGTATTGCTTTTATTCTTTATCTTAATTGTTTTAATGAGTTGTATCTTTATATACATTAATTTGCTTTGTCACCTTCAGAAAGGAAAAATGTATACAGACTGCAGTGCCTTCATCCATATTCTCAAAATCCTAGCACAGGTCTGAGCCCATCGCCCTCTGATTGTAATTTTGGAAACAGCTGCTTTTTTTCTGAAAAATCAGAGAGAGATGGGCTCAGACCTTCACTAAGATCTCAAGAATATGAGTGGAGGAAATACAGTCTGTATACTTTTTCCTTGCTGTAGGTAACAAAACAAATGATGGGTTTCCCACAGTTTCATCAGATATGAAGTAATATTTAGGTTTAGTTAAATTGATGGGGGGAAAAAAAACATTCAAACTACATTGGTCTCTTTATAAAAGTGTTCTGATAACAATATATGTGGGATTTATTTGTAAGAAAAAGGTCCAGACATTTACTTTAACTGCAAAAGTCATGAGAAATAAGCTGAAAGGCTTTTCTTGTTAAAAAACATAAAATGTAAATAAAGTCAATTGAAGATCATCCTAGGTAAGGCAGGATGATCTAATGTTTAGGGCAGAGACCTGAGTTCTCTTCCTCTCTGCTGAGAGGCTTTGGGCAAGGCACTTTACCTCCCTTTCCTTAAATGATCCATAACACGTTCAAAATCACTCTTCAGGACACCAGGTTTCTATAAAAGTCCTCAGAGACCAAATCCACCAATAAGGGATAATGATACAAAGCTTTTTGTGTCGGAGTGGAGTTTTGTGGAGGATTAGCTTCTGAATTTTAACTGAATTATCTCCATTTTGTGAAAAGGTGTCCAAGGTAACGGACTTTGTATGTTACAAACTGTAATAAACAAAAAAGGACAGCTTGAAGGGAAATAAGGAATAGCTAATATTCCATATTTTATAAAAATATGTATATAAATAAATAATGGTGTATATTTTGATTGCATCCTTTTCCCTAAATCTTTATATGTCAGATCACCACTCTCTGAGTGCAAGAATTGAATCTTTGTGTGTCTGTTGACAATACCTAGCATATTGTGGATGCTTGTGGCATATGAGTAATGAAGAATAGCAGTGCTGAAATGGGAATGATAACACCCATTTTTATAAAGGTCTTAGCTATTTATGTGGCAAAGTGCTATATATAAAGTTCACTATGCACAGAACAGGTACAGGGGCTGTTCAAATTTCCTCATGCTCTGCTGCCATTGTTCCATAACTCTGACCTTGACGTTGTTGAATTAGCTAGCCACAGAGGTAAGAGAGTGATTCAGTCTCTATGACCATCCAATCTTCAGTCTTTCTAGTGGGAGGTCAAGAAAGAGACTATAAGGAGATATGCGGGAGATTTTCAATGGCACAAATGGGAATTAGGCACCTAACTGCCATAGTAACTAACTGCCCTTATACCTTTGAAAATCTCTTCCATAAAGAAGAAAACTTGCCAAACAAGCGTGATTGGGTTTTTTGGATAGATTTATGGATGAGGGGAGTATATGGATGTAATCTATGTGGATTTTTGTACAGAATTTTGCACTGAATTTTAAAATTGCTGGGACAAAATCTTTGCTGAGTGGACTGAATACTGGCCATGAGCAATGGGCAATTATAACCAGCAACGTATAGAGTTGGGGGAGGTTTCTAAGGGGGCATTTCTGGATCAGTTTATGGACTGGTCTTATTTAATGAAATTCATACAGGGTACTAAATTGGACGTAGTGGCAAACAACAGTGATGACAGAGAAATAATGCAAAAGAAAAAGACGGTTACTCACCGTTGTAACTGTTGTTCTTCGAGATGTGTTGCTCATATCCATTCCAATCAGGTGTGTGCGCGCCGCGTGCACGATTGTCGGAGAATTTTCTACCCTAGCAACACCCGGCGGGTCAGCTGTGGAGCCCCCTAGAGTGGCGCCTTCATGGCGCTGGATATATACCCCAGCCGACCCGGCGCCCCCTCAGTTCCTTCTTGCCGGCTACTCCGACAGTGGGGAAGGGGGGCGGGTTTGGAATGGGATAGTGAGCAAC